GTGTTAATTTTAAGACCAATTGTTTTTGGCACTTTATAGAGCGTGTGCAGCATTTTTGTAGCTTTTTCAACTCTATCAGATATTAAAACGATGTCATCAATGGCAAATCTTAGGTGGTTCAGATCTTCACCATTTATATTAATTCCCATATTATCCTCTCGTTCCATTTGCTTGAACATATATTCAAGATCAGCTGTAAACAATTTAGGGGAGATAGTATCACTCTGTCCCTAAACTAATAGGTCTGTAGTTCTTTGAGTCTGAAATGTCACCTTTTTGTGCATTAGAATAGAATGTTTACTAGTAACTATATTGTCAAAATGAAATCGAATTTTCGAATTTCTTAGAATATATTTATTTGTCGATGCAATAACGAACTAGTATTGACAAGTTTGTATGCACTATGCAAGGCGGGTAATAATAGATGTATATGCCCTCGGGCAAATTACAAACCATCGTCGTAACTTGTAATTGTGACATCGTCGCCCTTTGGGCATAAACATCTTTTTACTACCCTTGGTACATAAATAACTATTATACTATTGATTACGGTAAAATTTACAAAAAATAGAAATATAAAAATCAATTAGATCTAAAAAATGCGAAACCTAACGTAACATCGACAGAAGAAATTTAACCTCACTTATATGTCAATATATGACAGAAGATGAATTATTTCAATGTATGACCCAAGTTAAAACTTTTGCTTAAGTCGTCATAGTCGGTGTCTTGAGCTTGAGCAAACATATTTGTACGTAAGTAAATATTTTTTTTTGTGAAGCGAAACTTAACGGACTTAAGTAAAAATTATTTCTTAAGATCAAATTTTCACTTAATCATGTTGGTGGAACTGGCCGTATATGTAAAATTTGAATTGTTGACGTTTATGTACAGTCAGAGAGACAGAGGGGTACGTGTATTCCATGTGATGTATTCCATTTATCTATTCGCTCCGTGCGTGACCATGGTAGGGGTACATTGAAACGATGCCAGCGTGCGTAGCGGCGAAATATGACAAAATTGGAATATTGGAAAAAATATTTTTACGCATAAGTTTTATCAAAAATGTGTGCAAATACATGTTGCGTATTTAATTCTGCTAAATAGCAAAAACAGTGAGTGTAGTTTTTATAGGTTCCCAAAGATTACATATAAATTAGAGAAAAGAAAAAGATGAATTCGTGCTATTAATATGAAAAAGTAAATATCACATAATTTCATTTTTATGCAATTGAAATAGGAACAATTTAAATAATTTACCTTGAATGATATTTCATAAGGCTTCAAGCTAACTGCAGATGACTTTAGCTTTTATATCATAACTTTTACTATTATTGTTTTTAATTATATGCTCTTTTGCGTGAAAACTTGATTTGCCAGTACTAGATTTTTCGCTTTCTTTTCCGTTTGGAGTTGAAAAGATATATTATGATGAATTTTGAGAAACTCAGTTTTTAATACTACATTTATTTTGTACATAAACTGAAAAAATATAGTTAAAAAACTAATTTATTCATAATTGTCAATTTCGCATGTATTTAACAATGTCAAACATATGTCATATATTTAACCTGAAAATTGGGACTCCAAAATTGTCAGATGAAGGCGGTAGGTGTCGCATCAGTCACGCACGGAGCGAATAGATCAAGTTATGATCTGTGAAAGACAGACTTCTTGTGATCGACGTGAAATCGACTGCCTCGTCCTGTATACTTTCATGAACAGAGGTCGTATTTTCGGTAAGTCTGGCGTTTCGTCGGCATACGGGTGTTGTTTGATTGTTTACTTAGTTCTGCACTATATTGGCGTGCTATAGCTATCGTAAAATTGGCGAAACGCGCGTTACCCGAAAAGAACATTAATTTTGATAAAATAATCTTATCATTGGCACGTATTGTTGTTTGCTATAATGATGCATGCTGATTTTACAAAACATACTGAATTAATAACTGCCAATTTAATAGATGAACCTTCAATAATATGACTGCTAGCACTATCATATCTTAATATCTGGAAATTCGTATCGCAAGTATTAAATAACGCTCTACAAACTTAAATAATGACCTAACGTTTATTTTCAGGTTCTTTTTTAAATCCGCCCCTGTCAAAAACATTTCAGCTCCTTTATCCTAGAAGTTGTCACGTCAAAGTGATGACGATCCGAGATGTTGTGTTTGTTAACACTCACATTAACAGATACAGCTTAAGTAACACCAAAAAGGGCCTAGGAAGTATAATCCGAATTTGTACGTTTTGAATAAAAGAACTACTTTTTTCCTGATATGCATAGTCAAAAGTCTTTTATGATCGTAGTGATAAGCTATTTCGGAGTATTATGTGATCCGTATTTGAATAATAGTGTTAATAGGATTTGAAATTTTTGTAACACAACACTCAATTAAAAGTGGCTCTTTTAAAAACTTTTTTTACGAAAACAAAATTTTATGATTTTCAATTAATTGTCTAAATTTGACCAAACAAGCAAAAAAATTATAGGATTTGGTAAATTAAAGTATTTTTAAATACCTTTCAAACGAGCATTGGTAAATTACAATCCATGTAGTAGATTAGAAGATACAGCCTTTTAAAAATAGACAGATTTTCGAGTGCAGTTAGTCCTTCAAATGTTGTAGGCCATTTTACAGTACCACAATATTTAGTTCATCCGTCAATTTAGTTTATTTAACGCACAATACCACCAAATATTCGGAACTGTTATCATAATTTTCTACAATTGTTCTAATACGATCAACCACTTGCCTAAGTAACTCAAGATACGATGCACCATTTAAAGTTCTAGTGATAAAGAAGGGTCCGATAATGTGTTCACCTAGGATACAACACTCAGCCAATTATGTCTGTTCACCAAACCATTTAATGAAAATACGCATTCATCCAAAAAGCAAATATTGTTTTGGATTTTTAATGATGCATAGTGTCATTAATTCGCAAAATTTAAGACGACAATAAAAATTTTCTTCATTTAACTCTTGTACCAATTTAATTTTGTATAGATGAAACTTAAATTTATGGAGGAATCAAAATGCTGTAAAAGATGAAACACCGATTGCTCTACTTATTTTTGACAGTGACTGTGATTGATCAGCTTCTAAGTTAACCTGCCCTAAAATGGCTACTTGGATTGCTTCGTTATTTACAAGTCCCTGTCGGTTATTTTTTTTTTATTGCAAACTGTTACTTTAAATTACTGCATCAGTTTAATCACATACCTACTTATGACTTGCATGTCTATTGTGGTATATTTCATTAAAAATTCTAGCAGCAGCTCTGGCATAATTATTATTTTTGTGGTGTTAACCTACAATTTCGATTCTATTTTGCAAAGCGTAAACCATTTCAGCGATCAAATCGCACACGTATCAAAATAGTCTATTACAAGTTATCGTACTACAAACAAACTTACATACATACTTACAAACAAAACACCGAAGTACCTGGGCGTAACACTAGATAGAACGCTATCATTTAAAGAGCATTTAACAAAAACTGTCCAAAAGTTGAGTACAAGAAATAACATTATACAGAAGCTCTGCGGTACCACCTGGGGAGCATCGGCTTCCACTCTCCGCTTTACTGCTTTAGCCCTTGTTTTCTCGACCGCTGAATATTGTGCCCCAGTTTGGCTACACCGTCCACACGTAAAAAAGGTCGACACTCAGCTGCACAGCACTATGAGGATGATAGCTGGTACAATTAAATCAACTCCCACCCAAAGGCTTCCAGTATTAAGTCACATTCCACCTCCACATTTACGACGAGTTGATGCGCTTACACATGAATACAAAAAGATCATGAACAATATAAACCTGCCGATCCACCAAGATACCGAGGATGCACGAAATACCCGTCTACGTTCTAGAAAACCACCAATGAAAACGGCAAGAATGATACATGAAGAGTTCAACATCACGAATGCATGGTCCCAAGAGTGGAATGCATGGCAAAATAACATGCCCTGTATTACCCACAAACCACCAGGTTTTGATCTTCCACGTAAAACATGGTCCACTCTAAACAGGATCCGAACCAGACATGGCAGATGTGCATACATGCTACATAAATGGGGAAAGAATCCGTCTCCCCAATGTGACTGTGGGAAGGACCAAACGATCGACCACATTATTGAAGAGTGTCCCTCAAGATCCTATAACGGTAGCCCTGAAGACTTCCTGTTTGCAACTTCAAAGTCAGTTGATTATGTTAATACACTTGATGTTTGTTTGTAATTATTTAAAGTTTGTCATATACCTATATTACTAGTGTTTGTAATTTTGTTCTAAATGTGTTGTAATTGCCATACGATAAATAAATAAATAAAATTACAAGTTATAACAAATTGTCATTGGCTATTAACCGATTAAAATGAATTTCCAAATAATATCAGAAACCTCTGATAAAACTTTAATAAAAAGTAAAGTTTTTTGTGTCTTGGTTTTTGAAGGTACTACAAATATTACGGTTAAATATTTAAAAAGTTTAAATTATGCTGCAACCAATTTTGTTAGTCAATTAAGGTGAGAGAGATACTATTCTGTTAAAAGAAAAATTGTCTATCTTATAAACTAATCACTTCAAGCCGAATGTATTATACATTTGGGAAATCATTACAAAAAGGGGAATCCAAAAATAAAATAAAAAATGTTAAGTAATTTAAAAAAATTTTACATTAATTTGTACATTTCCCAATAACCTTAAATATGATATAATGTCTCCCCTTCAAATATTAATTTGAAGCACTGTATATGTGTCTATACTATTGCTTTACAAAAATGACCGCAACATTGGGGACAATTAATTTCTTCGGTACTGGAATATGACATTACGTTAGGGATTATCAGGGTGTGTGAACAACAATATTTTTTCCAAAGAAAGAATATCTTCTTAAATCACTGTATTGTTTTACAATTTATTGTTTGTTTGAGATTTATATTATCTAATCTTTAAAATTTATAATTCTAACAATTCTTTTTTTGTTTCAGAATGCAGCAGCAACAACTAGCAGCCCAATTGGCCCAACACGGCAGTGGTGGAAGACAGCCTCCTTTAAGTCCAACTCCTTCAGATAGTGACTCAGACATATCTTTAGGGGCCCACTCACCTCCTATTAGCTCTCCAGGTCCGATACAATTTGGAAGAACCTCACCGAACCCGATAACCTCCTTCAGATTTGGAGCTCATTCCCCAGGTCCTATGCCCGCCCAGTTTCGCTTTGGAGGAGCGCATACTCCCCCCACGTTTTCTCCAAATTTCAGAATCGAAAGGTCTAAAGATAGAAATTCAGCGTCTCCTATTAATGTAGACAATAATTCCAGTTTTACAGCAGTCAATTTGAGGTTAAGTTCCAACGAGAGTCCCATCGATGTCGACAGTACGGACAAGGATGCTAGGAAGCTGGACTCTCCCCCACAGACTACAATTCAGCACTCGCCGCCCATGAATCTACGAATTGCGGATAATTTGAGGATGCAGCACAACGAGGGTAAAATAGAAACCCCTTTGCCGCTGCGGTTAGGCCATCAGCTAAACCCAGCGCAAATCGGTACACCCTTGAGAATCCAAGTGACCTCTCCCGGTAGACTGGGTGCCCCTTCGCCTCATACCAATCTTCATGGAGCGTATTCGCATGGTGGAATTGTCAGAATCGCTCCACCGAGTCCTAACAATAACGGTCATATTTTGCATCGGCCGTTTTCGCCACCAAGGTTAACGTGATACTCGCCCGTGGAGTGACATGGATGTGAATAGGAACTTTTTAAGTATGACATCACGGAGTGTATAAACATCAACAATTAAGAGCAATATTTACGATATATGGTTTATGTACGAGACAATGCTTTTTTTGGTTTCCCATAATTTATTTGCCAACTTTGCCATTTTAAAGTGCAATAAATCAATACCCAGAATTTATTTTATATAAGTTTACAACCAGTATAAACTATAAACTTTTTTTATGGCATCTAATTTTGTTTTTTTTTTGCTGTGAGAAGCAACTCCTTTGGTACATATTCAATATATTATACAAATGTGATATAATATTAAATGCAACTGGGAAAGTCAGTATTCAAGTAAACAGCCTAAATTGAAAAAATAAAAATACAATAAAGCAAAAGCAAAACAACTAAAAAAAATTGCCACATCAACCGAAAAACAATATAAACTCTACAGACCTAATCAATCTAAAACCATTTATCGTAAATATAATGGCTCCGATATAATACTAGCTTGAAAAATACGAAAGACATATATCTTAAATGTTCAAAAACGGCTAGAAATACTTTAAAATATTGAAAATACTTTAAATATATTCCTTTTACTATTTTTGAACATAAAAGATCTTAGGTCTTCAAGTATACCGTACGATATGTTCTGTGATGTCTCAGAAACTAGAATTACTGCAATGTTATGTATATTTATTCGCTTGTACAGAAGAGTAAGTGTACGGGATGGTGAACTTACTTTAAATGTTCAGTGGCAATTTGTCGATAATGTCGATATTAGGATTTTAAAAGATTTAGTCAGAGCTATTTGATAGAATATTTAGTTAATTAAGGACGTACTTTTGTTCAAATAACTTTAAATAGGAGCAAATAAAAAGTATTAGTTTACATAGGCTACTTCTACCTCTTCTTCTTTCGGTGTCATATTCTTATTCTTCTTCTTCTTCAAGTTTCGCTCCTATCGGAGATTGGAAATCATTCTGGCAATTATAATTTTGTTGGTTACGCTGCTGATTAGTTCAATTGAACTGCATCCAAACCATTCACGGAGATTGCGTAGCCACGAGATTTTACGTCTTCCTACGCTTCTTTTGCTTTTGATTTTACTCTGCATTATATTCCTTAGCAGTTCGTATTTTTCACCTCTCATGATGTGCCCTAAGTATTCAAATTTCTTGATTTTTATGGAATTTAAAACTTCGCATTGTTTTCCTAGTTGTTCGAGAAGTTGTTCTTCTATGATATTTTCAAAATACGTCGGTAACACCAGATTTCGAATGCTTCTAGGTTTTAAATGTTGGATTTTTAAGTGTCCAAGCTTTAACCCCATACAAAAGGGTAGAGAAAATATAACATCAAAGCATTCTTATACGGAGCGATATATTGATATCGCGATTACAAAAATGTTTTCTCATTCTATTAAAAGTTGACCGTGCAATTTCAATGCGGCATCTTATTTCTTTTGTCTGATCAGTATCTTCAGTGATCCATGCTCCAAGGTATTTGTACGAAGATATTTGTTCAATTTCTGTATTATCTAGTACTAGCTTAACTTTGATGTTTTGTGCTTTTGTAAATACCATGGACTTGGTTTTCTTCAAATTTATTTTTAGTGCATAATCGTTGCAATAAATATTTAGTTGTTCAGCATGGTGTTGCAGTTCTTCTTGTAGTGTTCCTGCCAGAAAGACGGTTTCGTCAGCATATCTTATGTTATTAAGTGGCTCACCGTTTATTATCTGACCCATTATCTGGCTCACCGATGAGCCCTCACTGACCTCGGCAAGCGCTAATTTTGAGATGGCTTCACTGTATAAATTAAATAACAAGGGTGATAAAATACACCCTTGGCGGACCCCACAGCGAATCTGGATATCCTGGTTAGTTCATTTTCAACTTTCACTTTTGCTGTTTGGTTCCAATAGAGGTTACATATGATTCTAATGTCTCTACTGTCTATGTTTTTATTTAATAAGATTTTTTTAAGCCGATTATGCTGCACTCTGTCAAATGTCTTCTCAAAATCAATGAAACAGGTTTGGACTTCATGATTTATATCTAAGCATCTCTCCGAAAGAACATTTACTGCAAACAGTGCATCTCGTGTTGCCAGTCCTTTTCCTAAATCCCATTTGTGTATTACTTATGCCTTCATCTAATTTCTTATGTATTCTATTGTGAATTACTTTTAAAAACAATTTCAAGACATGACTCATTAAGGCTATGGTGCGATGTTCATTGCACTCCTTTGAATTGACTTTTTTGGGAAGCAGTATGATTATTGATTGGAGCCATTCTTCAGGTATTAGACCTGATCTATATATGGTATTAAATAGATCCAAAAGAAAATTAATAGATTCAGTATTTACAATTTTGAGTAATTCGATAGGAACTTCATTAGTCCCGGGCGATTTATCACCTTTAGCTTGTTTCATTGCATATTCAATTTCTTCTCGTATAATGTCAGCCCCAATATCATCCTTTAATTCATTCCAATGAAGTGGAATGATCATTTCACTTGACGTTGACGGGTACTGACTGATTTTTCATACAATCTTTCTATCAGTTAGCCCTAGCCCTAGACTCCAACACAGATCGAGGTAATGCAAGTCGACAAAATTTCACCAGCTCCTGTTGGTCATGTTAGATGCCCCTAGTTGTAGTTTTTATTAATTACCGAAGTTAACAGTCTATTGCATTTGCCTTTGTAAATTCCACGAGGATTGGTTTTGTTACTGATGTCCTTCTAGTATTTTTCTGTGGCCGAACAATGTTTTTTAACAACTTTTTATTAAACTAATGATGGAATGATACAATTCCGAAAAGATCTTTTTTAAAATAAAGTTTTAAGCTTTTAATCAGCATTTTTTATACGTTAATACACACGAACACCACGTGCTTTATATTCAACAGGTATACTAGCCACTCCTGGATATCTCCATTTCATGGTTTTGTTCCAGTTTCACTTTTACCTTTTTAATTTTTAATACCTTTAAGACAATTATGTACATTTTTAAATTGTTCTATCGTGTGACTCTGACTAGATATCGCATATTTTATAGAAATGCATTTTAGTCAATTTAAAAAATGCACAAAATGATTTTCATTTGACACTGTCTTTACTCGAATCTTTTTTTTTGTACGTATCAAAATTATTTATTTTTTTTTGGTTATATTGTGATTAGAATTACAGCATTATACAGGGTGATCATTTTAATATAGTTGTGTCATCGATTAGGTATCAATAACTTTGTTTTTGTTGTAGTTTTTCAATATAAGTATGTAATGTACTTGATTTAGAGATTTAAAGAATACGTAAAAACATAACGTAACTTAAACCTAATTTAATATAATACTTGAATTCTTTTACATGGTATGTCTGATTCCAATTTAGCAAGAGCCAATACGTAATTTAATAAAAATGTAAATTTTGGTAAAAAATATTGTTTATAAGTCAAGGAAAGATTAAGGTGTTAACTTTGCCTGGATCATTGTTGGAATTATTACAGCGGTACTACTAATATTTATGTTTTCAAAGAAGGCATATATTTTTTAAATGATCGAAAGGAAGCATCACAGAAAAAAATTCTTAAAGGAATTACAAAACAAGCATCCCACTTCTAAAGTATGGTGAGAGAAAGCTACTATATTTACGTACTACATTATTTTAAGCTATGGAGACCTGAACAAAGAAGGGAGAGATCAAGTACAAAAAACAAATTCTCAATTATAAGCATGGAATATGCACATTTTCAAACTATTGGTGTCTAAGCGAAATGGTTTTTGCAATTTTAAGAGTGATAGATGGAGTCATAAGCCTATTTGTAAAAAATATAAATAATTAAAAAACTGTTTTTAATCTTAGCCAAAATTTTTCCAGTTTTTTAGTACCTACTATACTCTTCCGTTTTTTAAATTTGTTATATATTTATGTACTGTCTTAGTTAATTTGAATTGTACATATTCACTATCTTTTTTATAGTCATCATTAGGTTTTACTTTTAACACTACTTATTCCCGAGATCTCTACAAAACGAAATGAAAATGACATTGTACGGTTTCATGAAAGTCCACAATTGACATTTAATTTTAAGAGTGGGTTCATAGACGAATGCTGAAGATATCTTGGACAGAAAGGAAAACTAATGAAAAAGTACTAAGGAGCGTCAACACAGATAGAGATCTGATAACGACTGTTATAGTCCATTTCCATCATATTGATAGCATATTATGTATGCAAATCCCTAAACTGTTGATACGGGTGACTCAATGAAAAATAGATATTTGTCAACAAGTTTACAGAAGTATATAGGAAAACAATTTTAAATTGAGTATGACCACCAGGTATAAAGGTTGAAGCAGAATAGAATACTCTAGTTTTCAGGGTTACTAATCCCTAATTAAAGTTGCCAGTGTCGGAATGATGGAGATTAACAGGTACTAAAGAATTTGCAAGAAATGTAAGATGTTTATTTTATTTGTTATTTATAAAATAATTTGTGGCCGTAACAGGGGCCGGTTTGTAAAAAAATGAATATTATTTTAATCAAATTCCATTTCACATTCACTGCTTTCTTCAGAATCTAAGGAATCTTCAACTCCAATGTTAATTATTACCGGTTCCAGCATTGCATCAGTCATATTATCCAAATTCCACATTTTATTTTCTTCCTTGTGAGCATGACTAACAGCATTTTTCCAATTTTCTGGAGTTACTTTTGATAAGGAATGTTCTAATAATCGTTGTAAGTCTTCTAATTTAAAAGTTTTGTTGTTGCGTCCGACTTCACCCTTAACTTGAGACCATATATTTTCTATCGGATTCAGATCACAGTAGTATGGGAGTAAACGTAAAATAATTACATCACGGTTTATTGCCATTTCATCAATTATATATTTTTTATAAGCTGCTTTATGTTGCCTTACAATAGGTAATAATTCCTTTTTTGTCGAATTCTCCTTGTACTCAATTGCGTGTCTATCCAACCATTCGAT